TGATCATGAGCTTTGATGGTGTACTATTATGCAATCAATTGGTCCAACACCTTGATTTTTCTAAAGTTCAAAAAAAAAAAACCTTGATATTTCTTCCAGTTCACCTTAACTGCAAAATCCTATGTGTCAAGGAACCTGTTTCATAGCTGCAAAATCCTATGTTTATGAAATGTTTTTGTTTCTTTACTAATTCCTTAACACCAAAGTATATCAAGAACCAACCTCATCATATCACCAATATTATCATATGCTTGAATCTCATATTCTTAAGCTACTTGCCATTAACTCGTTTCCAAGTGAAATTGTGAACTACTAGCATTCCTGTTATTGTTTATGTATTTAAATGTTTAATAATGATTAGTGGATGCAACTGTTGAAATTTAATGCATATCACCATAGATGATCTAGTCAACTCTTTTTAGTCATTCCCCAATCACAAACACGATGAAAAATTGTTTACAATATTCTGATACGCTTCATCAGACATACTTTCGTAAGAGGAAGAAGAATGTGGCCGAAGAAGAAAAGGGTCAACATGAAAGTGAGAAGAGAATCAAGAGCTGATGTGGCAGCTGAGTCAGCAGAAGAATCAGATAAAGTATTAATAAAACAAGTCTCGTATAAATAGTGAAGGGAGCTTGATTTGTTGTTTCGCATCCAAAAAATTACACTGTTAAAGAAAAGCGTATGTGCTTTCTTCTGATCGTGAGTGATCAGGGTCGAGTTCGTATGTGAACAAGATCAGCTTTGTAATCAGATATTATTCTTTCATTCAATACAAATTCATTCTTTCTTGAGAGTTTGGGAGTACAAAAATCTATCATTGGTGCGGTGAAACTGGTCGAATTCAAGCGACAGAAGAGGAGGATTACAACAATCAGAGTTTCTCAGATCTACATTCATGGCAATTTCTCCACATATGGTTGATACGGCAAGGGAAGAGGCAATGACAACGCCAAACCCTAATTTGGCGAGCGGATCCCAATTTGTTGAGGAAGATGATATCGCAGAGAGCGAGATGAGTCTGCGTTTTCTGAAGGGGGCATATAAGAGATTGAATGTCTCTAGGAGAGAGACGGAGTCACGATTTTCAGAGATTGATGGCAAGCTAGTTCATTTGGATGGCAAAATGTCTGATATCGACGGGAAAATGGACTCGATCTTGGCTATGTTGAAACAATCCGCCGAGAACAAAGGCGCGAACACGGAAAGACTTAGATCAGCCCCGGCGTTTTCTCGTGAACAGAACCAGATACACAACTCTAATCTGGAACAAAACAGGGGAAAACAACAGTTAGGTTATCGATCTGGGGGTTTGAATTTAGCAACTCGTGAGAGTATGCTGCAGAAAGTTGAGATGCCAGGCTTCTCCGGGAAACATCCATATATCTGGATACAAGACGTTGAAAGGTTTTTTATGATCAGCCGTTATGACTACGATGAGAAGCTAGAAATGGTTCCGCTGAGTTTAGAAGGCAGAGTTAAAAAATGGTTTGCTTGGGAACTAAAGAAGAAGGGTTTCGCAAGCTGGTTGGATTTTAAGAACAAACTCGCATTGAGGTTCTCAGAATCTTTGGAGGAGGATCCGGCAATCCGCCTCTTCTCCATTAAACAGACAGGATCGATCACTGATTATATCTCAGAGTTTGAAGAGTTGTCTGAACTCGTTGATGGGATTGATGACGATCACTTGACAAAAATCTTCTACAACGGGTTAAACCAATAAATGAAGGAAGTAATAAGGATGAAAGAGCCAGTTGGTCTGGAAAACCACATTTCTGCAGTACTAAGAATGGAATCGAGTGCTTTATGTAAGGTGGTTAGCATCTCATCCGGAGCTGAAGTAAAAAATCAGAAGACTTACACATATACGTCTTCAAAACCAGTTTCGACATACAGCAATCAAAGAGGCTATTTTAGTAGTAAACAGAAGTCTGGTGGTTTGAGTGGACAGAACACGGGTCAGTTGCAGAGTAGAAAGGAGAATACAGCGCCGTTTACAGCAAGTGAGAACAGGCCTAATCAGAAATATACACTTGAAGAGCTTGATCAGATGAGAAAGAACATGATCTGTTTTAAATGCGGAGCAAAAGGATGGTCTCGAGCTCATAAATGTCCTAAACGTGAAGTGAGAGTGCTGACAATGCTGAATGGTTTAGAGATGGAGGTGCTAGATGAATGCCATGAGAGTGGGGAGGAAGAGATTTTTTTTAGAAGCAGTGCAAGAGCTACGAATGCTGTCACTGAGTTCTTTCCTGGGAATTCATTCACCAAAGATGACAAAACTTTATGGAACGATAAACAAGACCAATGTTATCGTGATGATTGATAGCGGAGCTTCCTATAATTTCATTAAACCAGGGATTGTTCAGAGGCTGAAGTTGAAAATTTGTGAAGAGCCTAGCTTGGACATTCTCCTTGGCAATGGAGTCACAGCCCAAGGCGCAGAGATTTGTGAATACGTGATCTTTCAGTTATTAGATACCTCCTTTAAATCTGATTTCATATCACTGGAGTTGGGAATGGTTGATGTAATTTTTGGAGTACAGTAGCTAGAGACACTGGGAAAGTGCGAAGTCAACTGGAAACAGAAAGAAATGTCCTTCAACTATGAAGGAAAACGGGTTACAATAATAGGAGACCCATTGTTACATAATACAAAATTCTCGATGAAGTCGTTGTCTCTTAATCCTGCTCTGAGAGCGAATGGAAGGGAATAACCTTTTTATCTCAGTGCTATGACAACAGTTAATCCAACAATCCCAGACATGATAATACAACTATTGGAGGAATTTACTCATGTCTTTGCTCTGCCAACGGGTTTACCACCAATCAGAGGCAAGGAACATGCCATTAACTTGATCCCTGAAGTGACAACAGTATTCGTGCGACCATATCGGTATCCACATGCTACCAAGATAGTAATGGAGCAAATGGTTCAAGAAATGTTAGATTCAGGCATCATTCGACCGAGCACTAGTCCATTTTCAAGCCCGGTGTTATTGGTGAAGAAGAAGGATACATTGTGGCGATTCTGTGTGGACTATAGAGCTTTAAATCAAGCTACAATCCCAGTCATTGATCAGTTATTAGATGAACTCAATGGCGCCAAAGTTTTTTCTAAGTTGGATTTACGCTTTGGCTACCACCAGATAAGGATGGAAGAAAAGGACATTGCTAAGACCGCTTTTCGCACTATAGAGGGTCATTACAAATTTTTAGTTATGCCATTCGGCTTGACTAATGCTCCAGCTACATTCCAAGCATTGATGAACAAGATATTCAAACCCTTGTGAGTTTGTATTGGTGTTCTTTGATGATGTGCTGGTGTACAGCCGCAGTGTTGAGGATCACAGGGCACATTTAGCAATCGTGCTTCGTATCTTCGAAGATCAAAAACTGTTCTGAACCTCGGCTAATTTCTTGTCTCTTCTTGGTGTTTCACATACAGAAAATTCCAAGATATTACCGACAAGATCCTAAATGATGTTACAACTTAAAAACATAACATGTTTTGTTTCAGTTTTGTCTCCATCTCTTGAATTATAGACCTTATCTGCTTCATGTTACCTCTATAGCATTTGAGTATCAGAGTGACATCATTTTACATAAGTATTTTGAACTTTGGATTTTGACTAATTAAACAACATATCGTCATTTTTATAATTAATTTTGTACAAACTTCTTACGAGAATATACCAAATATACCCTCCTACTTCTCACACACGTTCTTTCTTATAGTAAACTGTAAACAAAAATTATCTTGACCAAAACAAACGTTTGCTTCGCCACCAAGGGAAATCCATAACAGAGTTTATCTGCTCCTCGGTCTCTATAAAAAGACTGTCTCACTCTCTCATTTTTTGCAGCATCACGATCTCTCTCACATTTCTCCGTTTTCTCTATAGCTTTGAAGAATTATGGAGGTATTGTCTCACAACAAGTCAAGGGAAACCGAGAAATCGCTTCCTCCGAGAAGAGGCCAAGTCAAGGTTATGATCACACGCAAACTCCTCAGATCGGTTATTTCATCGTGGAAGAGGCGAGACTCACCAGTCCCTTCCTTCCACTACAACAAACGACGATCGTCGTGAATTTGTAATCCGAGACTATAACAAATTATGTACATACTTTGTTTAAGATATATCGAAGTTTTGGGAGACTTTGTAAAATATATGTTGTACACGAATATTTCTTGAGTTTTATAAGAATATTTGCTTATGAATCTCAATATTAATTAACTTGACAAAATTGTTAATAACGTAAGAAGATTGGTAGGTAACAAAAGATGTATGTATTTAAGAGAGATCTAAACCCAAAAATTTTGCAGTGTGAGAGAGAGAGATAGAGAGCAAAAAAAAAAACAAAATCGACCGGGAAAAAGTACAAATACCGGCGAGTCACCGACAACGAGACTGTACTAGCCCGTGACGAGAGTGATCGCAACTGACACGTGTCTAACTGACAAACCTTCTTCACTAACTCTTTATCCATTTTAACATTTTACAAAAATAACAAAAAAACTCTTTATCCCACATGTTAATAATTTACGTCATTTTCCTTCTATTTAATAAATTACCCCTAACTAGCTTGCTCCGCAAGTACTTAGGTATCAGAGAGAAGAAAAAAAGAACAAACCGACAGGAAAATACCGGCGAGTCAACGGCATCTACAGTACTAGTATCATCTGACGAGAGTGATTACAACTGACACGTGTCTCTATGACCACGTCTTCTAGAATAAACCTTCATTATCTCTATCCCACATGTTAATTAATGACGACATTTTTCCTTAAATTTACTAAATTTTTCCCTAACTAGCTTCCTCTGCAAGTGAATGACTTGGTCTGCGTTTCTCTGGCTAAGGCTAGTTAAATCCTTATATTAATCTTCACTCTCTAGGCTTTGTTGTTCACAATCTCGAACTCATCTCTCTCTTGCTTCACTCTTTTGATTCCTTTCTTCTTTCAGTTTTTTTTTTCCTCACAAAAATCTTCGACGATGGAGTTTCCATCTCCTAACAGCTCCGGAACCGTTCCTCCGAAGAGAGGCCGGATCAAGATCATGATCGCTCGCGATCTACTCGGATCAACGACTTCAATCCGATCGCCTCCGAGGAGAAGCCGAATCAAGATCATGATCGCTCGCGATCTGATCAGATCGGCAACTTCAATCATCTCGCCAAGAACACAGAACAACTACGGCGGAGACGACAAGAGGGGAGGCTGAGCCGCCACTCCGACTGCAGAAGCTGATCTACTCGCCGGATTCATCTTCCGCAACAATCACTTTCCCAGAAAAAGATGATCTGATCGGATCTGATCGGATCAGATCGAAATCATCAAATTCAGCTGTAAATTTTGTATTACATATTATGTAACAGAACAAACCAGATAAATTTCTGCCTCCGTGGATTTGATGATGTGTTGTATAAACCAGATAAAGTCTGAAGATGTGTTGTATAAAGTTTGGGCTGATACTTCGTGCATCTTTGTAAAAAAAAAACATATGTAAAAGTGATTTCTTCGTGTAAAAAAATTTACCTGTTCATATGAAATGCGTCTATAGTTTAGCTAATCATGAAAAAGTAATTAATTACAGCGGTGATTACTGATTAACCGTGTCTGATTTGATAGAGGGGGTGAAACTGAAATTCCAAAAAATATGAGGTCAAATGTCAAATAAACTACAAGTATATGGCTAAGGGTATTTATACTATTGTTATTATAAACTTTCCCCCAATCTTTTTTCTTCGCCGGCAGCTCTCCGCTGAGTAAAAAAATGAATCATCTCCGAATCTTTGCGAGAAATCAGCTACGGCGGCGGGATTTTAGTCTCCGATCAACGTCTCGTTCCTTCTGTAACCGCTCACCGGAATCGAATCGGTGAGCTCCCTTCTCCCGCTGCTACTTCCCTTCTCTGAAATAGTCTCCGGCGAATCACTCTTTTTGCTCATTGCCTCTCTCTCTCTCTTTCTGATTCTGACGAGAACACAGCTCGTCTTCATATGGCATTGCTTTCGACATCGATGGCGTTATTCTTCTCGGCTCCTCTCCCGTAGGCGGCTCCCCTGGCGCACTACGACGACTCTACGATGATTCCGGTATGCTCTTTGGTTAGGTTTTAATTGTGCAGTCTCGTCTACACAAGTTATCAATCACAAACTGTGATAGCTTTGTGTATAGAGTTGTATCTGCCAATGATTGAGTCCGAGTTCTCTTTTGCAGGTGCTTTGAAGATACCTTTCTTGTTCTTGACTAATGGTGAGCCTCTTAACTATATATGAAATCAGAAGTAGAGGAAGATAGTTAGCATGAAAAATCATTTGGACAGAGTCTCGAAACATCTAAAGATCAGCTTTCGTCTTGGTTTTGCCTGTCAGGAGGTGGCCTGCCTGAATCTGAACGGGCTTCTGAGATGAGTCGTTTATTAGGTGTTGATGTTTCTCCGTTGCAGGTTAGCATTCTTGTCTGTCTCATCACTTTCTTTGTGTAGATGTTTCTGTAGATGGATGTCACAGTAAATCACCACCAAGTTGGTTTCAGTAAAATGTTAACACTTTTTGATGCACACTCTCTTCGTTATGTCCATGTTGCACAGGTGGTACAAGGACATTCGCCTCTCCGGAAGCTAGTGAATAGGTAAGTTTACATCAGTTGCAAAATGGGTAATCAAATCACATAGGACACATGAATTTTGCAAACCATTGTATAAGGAACTATAGATACCTTTGAGTGTATCAACTTCTACTCCTTGTTTTGGTCAGCAAATCGGTTTAATCAATCTTTGGGATCAGGTTTGGAAATGAGCTCGTTGTTGCAGCCGGAAAAGGGGAACCGGCCTCGGTGATGACTAATTATGGTTTCAAGTAAGCTCTTTCTTGACTTTTGTGATTTTCGGTTTCAGACTTGTTCTACTTATGTGATTATATATATATATCTGTGCATCGGTTTTCAGAAACGTCATTTCATTGGACGAGTATGCCTCTTACTTTGACAACATTGATCCCTTGGCGCCGTATAAGAAATGGATCACTGGTCAAGAGACTAGATCAAGAGCAAATGTTCCATCCGAGAGAGTTCAGGCAGCTTTTATAGTTAGTGATCCGGTTGATTGGAGCCGAGACATCCAGGTTATCATTCCGCTTTGCTGTTCAAATTACATGAGTCTCTGTAAAATTTGATAGCTTTTGTTGGAGCAGAGCTTCTTTAGAATTTTGTTGTGCTCACATGGAATAACTAATAGGATGCTTGTCACTTAGGTCCTCTGTGACATTTTAAGAACTGGAGGACTTCCTGGGAAAGAGATTGGACCTCAACCTCATTTGTACTTTGCCAACGACGATTTGGACTACCAGGTTCTTGTGATCCCATCCGTTTTCTTCTTTCTCCATTCTTTTGACTTACCATATTTGGATACTGATGCATTGTGAAGTGAAAGCAGACTGCCTTTCCTACTGAACGTCTCGGCATGGGAGCTTTTAGAATCGCTTTAGAATCCATCTTTAACAGGTAACCGCCCAATTTCAAGCACTTATCTTCCATTTGATAGTTGCGTGATTGTGTTTGGGTGATATGCAGAATCCATGCTAAGCCTCTGGAGTATACATCTTTTGGGAAACCAAACCCTTTCGTGTTCAAGAACGCAGAAGATGTTCTGAAAGAAATCGCTGCATCCACTCATCCCCATTCAAACCAAGGAAGCCACCAGTTTAGGACACTGTATATGGTCGGAGACAACCCTAAAATCGACATCAGAGGCGCACGACAAGCCGGGAATCCTTGGTTCTCAATCTTGACAAGAACCGGAGTTTTCAAAGGGAAAGACAATCATGCTGAGTTTCCTGCTGATCTTGTAAGTAACAACAACAACGCCATCGCTTAAGCCTTTAAGCTTTTTTGATATTGCCTGCGGTTAATGTTTATGTTTAACGGTTAACTTTTTCAGGTAGTTGACTCAGTCGAGGAAGCAGTTGACTTCATTTTGGCAAGAGAGTCCGCTAAGCAAAGCTTATTATACTTTGATTGATTTCACTCAATTTTTATTTAAGATTTTATTCAAACAAAACAAAAAACATTCATCAAAGAGATTGTGTAACGAATACTGAATAGAGAAAGTGATTTATTTTGGTAACAAATCGTTTAAGTTGGTGCCAAAAAGATCTGAGTTTTAATTTATGAGATTCCCGTTATTTTGAAAATGATGATTTTGTTTTTACACTAGTAGAATTAGCACTTACTGCGTAAGATGGGAAAACATCATGTCATTTTTTTCATCAATAAAAACTGTTAAGTTCACACTTCCTTACGTTTCTCTCAAGCTAAACAGAAGTAACCTAACCAAACACATGGATAATCCGTCTTAACTGATTAATGAAGGAAATGAAGGAATAGCAATACAAGAAAATCCGTCTTCTCCTCCTCATCTCTCATGTGACCAGATCCTTCTACACCTCTTATGGATGCAGAGACTACACCAAAAGATGGAAGTAATAAAGTGCAGTATCCTCTACCTCTGGTTTGAAGAAGACCGAGACAATTAGATTTTACATGTAATGTTTATGAGTCATTATTAAGTTAGTATATCTTTATGGTTATTATTATTGATTAGTATCTTTGATGAAAATTTTAAATTTGCAGTTTGATATCGAAAGTATATTGATTGTTTTTTAGTATAGTAAGCAATAATAATTTTTGATGACAGTGTTTTATGAGTTAAATTATATCTTATAATAAAAAAGTAATTTTTGTATGTAGTAAATAGATCTATAATTTTTAGGTGATTTTTAAAAAAATTTTAATAACTAAAAATATTATATTCAAATTCTATCTGGTATTGTAATATATATATAACTTCAAATATTATTATGTTTCAACAGTTTTGGAGTATTAATATATTTAAAAACAAATTAGGATATTGATAAGAATATAATAATACATGGACGATGAAGCCCTAATATGTTAGGTCTCGATATACACGTATATAAATAATCTATGTATTGTACCTAATGTCTGCAAAATCATCAGAAATTAAAAAGTAAGTTGGATTATGATTAAAAGTTATTATGGTTTATAACTTTTTTTAATGATATTTATTTAATAATATTGATTTTAGTTTGAAGTTAAAACAAACTTATATTATATTTTATATTGTATGATTTAAAGCCCAATATTAAGTCACAATAATCTCATGTGATTTTAGTTATAGGTTTAAATTTGCCAATATGTTTGGACAAATCCCAATTATCATTGAAAAATACGTGATTCTTTGACGGCAAGCAAATTTTAATATTTATCTACTTAAAATAAAATCAAAACTAAAAAATAGTAAAATAAAATTCTGTATTGAAAACCTATAAATACGCATCTCTAATTCTCATATTCAAGCCGGCCATGTTTTCTTTGTTTGTTTTTATTTTTATTTTATAACATAACAATTCTGCTTGCCGTTTTTAAAAAATAATTTTGTGATTATGTATTTTGTTTGGGTTACAGAGAAGACAAAGTTTTTTGAGTGGATGGAAATAAGGGGTCCGAAGCAAAAACTTTCGGAATAATATTATACCAACGAGAAGTAAGATTTTTGGAGCTTTTGAGTTTTGATTATAATTTGTTAACAATATGCTTCGATCATGTATATTGGCACAGTTTGAAGAGGAAATACTATGTGACTACATAGAGAGAGAGAAGAACTAGAGCAGCATCTAAAAGAACGCAATACTACATACAAGAAAGGTACGCTTTCTCTGCTTTTCGAAGTATATTGGTCCTCTCCGAATATTTAGTAACGTTTTAAGGTAGAAAAGCTCACTATATATTTTTTAAGATGTCTGGAAGGTTGATATTATAGGAAACGTTACTTTTTAGTCGCATAGACGAGGATACCACTTTTTAATCTTTTGGTGTCAAACTCATTTGGTTGGAAACTCAGTGTAGAGATAAAACTTTGCTTCATTATACTCATGATTAGAGTTCAACAAACCTGAGAGTTTTGTTTTAGTTATATTTGGCTTAGGTAGGTGGATTGATAGAATTGTTATTTAGTAAGCTTTGAATTGGGGTTTGGTTTATTTGAAAATCGTGTGAGATTTGATGATTTCTTATATAATAAGGATGCAACATTATTAAAACTTTATATAAAATATATGGCTTTCTTGAATGTTTTGGACTCATTATTATTATCAGTGTATTTCATTGTTATAAAATTTTATTGTCTAGGAAATGTGTGAT